AAGAAACAACCAGAAAAAAAAAACTAACTTCGAAGAGCGATCTACTCCAAGTTTTGAAGCAAGAGTGGGCAAAAATACCACAATCTAAAATTGACGAGATGATTCTCACGATGCCCCAAAGGATCAACGAACTCCACGAAGCGAAAGGAAGATCTACTAGATATTAATTGAATTATAAATATATCAATTCATGTGAATGTGACTGAAATTTTTTTCTGAAAAGGTGGTGTCTATTTACTTGTGAACACGCTGTGTATAGTCTCTTGCCACATTTTAATCTTTTATCTTCTTTGTTTTTTCATTATACTCTCATACAAATTTTATTTACATGTGAGGTTTCGCGAACGGATATTATGGCTAATAGACGTGTATCCCTATGATATTTGGGGCCTATTTACGCAGTCACATTCAAAACCTACGATATATCTTATAGCTCACATTATGGCCTGTGCCCTGGTGACTTTGTTTTGTTGTGCAGCTTTTTATTTAAAGCTTGTTTTACATTATAAATACACATTCTTCTACAAGCTACATAATTTACATGTAAGGGAAAAGACACTTTGCAAATTACAATTGACATCCATGGAGGTTTTCTGCATACAGCAAAATACGAGGTAACCGATATACAAATAGGAACAGAGTCTTTCTTCAAAGTTCTATTAGTCTTTCAGTCTTTCGAAACTTCTAACTTAGTTTATATTCATATATTTTCTTAATTAGATTTCCTGTGTAACAACGTCAGTTTAATCTTAATTAAAAAGTAGAAACGGAAAACTTGTGTCTGTCATACAATTTTGAAACTTATTAGTAGTTACAAAAAACAAAGAATAAGATCAAGGTTTTTAATTTATTTAATTAATTTCTTAATTTAAACGTCATAGGGGAAAGCACGCTTTAACTTTTGGTTTAATTTAATTTTTGTTATCCTACACAAAAAATATGTTAAAAAGAACGAACACGTGATCATTTCCTTCGTCATAGTTTAAAACATATGCAATCGTCTCCCTCCACACGTGTAAGACAAATTATTATATTATCAAAACGTTGCGTAAAACCTAAAACTGTAGCCATTTAACCTAAAGGAATGATCTATATATTTGTGGTCACAGAAAGAAATAAACAAACTGTCTAAATTTCCACTTAGTTTGAATTAGTTACACAGAAATGTTCCTTTAATCCAGCCTTATGTGTTATCTAGATAACGCTTTATATATCTCTCTATGTTTAATTTTTCAAATATTTGTTTTAAATTTGTTAACGGGCAAATTTAAATTCTGTTTATAACACATTATATATATTTTCTTGTTTTCTGTGTATCTTATTCGAAATGTAACATATTTGTTTACGTTTTAACAATAAGAAAAAACCTAAAGAATTGCATTAAAATATTCTACTAATCACTATTTTACTTTGTTAAAGTTGTGAAAGAACAAATACGTTTTCCAAACATTTTTGGACGAAGACAGACTATTTTAATACAAAAAATTGTCAAATCTTTTTCTAAAGCAAACATTATGACACAAGAAGTCTGATATCATAACCGATAAAGTATGTACACAAATGAACCAGTAATTATGAGTCAAACCACTAGGTGAAATTCAAACTCCTACCTAACATAGAAATTCATGATTTACTTTTATTTGACAAAGATTACCTTTAGTAACTGGCGATCCTCGGTTTAGTTATTCAAGAGTTGTACTGTCTTGGAGGTTTAGTCCTGGATTCTGCTTCTTAAAAGTCGATTCTAGTTGCTGATTGCATCTAGTTGTAATAAAGTGTAAGGAATATTAATTTTGTATTTTTAATGTGTTTGCATACAAACTTCCACCATCTACGTTTAACTGACCTAATTAAATTAAAGATTTCTTATTTTTGTAATGATAAAAAATAAAAATAAAAACCTGTTCAGTTACAGAACAACAAATGTAAATAACACATCTACATATTTCACCGCAACTAGCACAACAATGAAAAAGTGGTTTTGTAAAGAACATTAATAATTAAAAACGAAAGGCATCACATGTTATTTGACAGAGAAAATATACGTCATGTTCTATAGCATCGTGAAGAGTAACTTTTGTAATGGGATTACCGAAGACTACAGTACATCGTTAAATAGTAAACTGTTATATCTAAGCGCACTTAAGGATGCACGAAGTGAAACAACCTGTTGGACTTACTCACCCATTTAACCCCATTTATGGCACTTGAATATTAAGTAAGAAACAGTTTATCGATGTAACCCTAGACATATTCTAGTTTCTACTGACATCAAACCGCGTTGATGTGAAAACAGCTTCTTGATAGCGCCCAACAACAAAATTCTTATCACGACTAATTACTTATATGTTGTGTGCAATCCTGAAATAACGCTCCTAAGCTAACGTGCGGACAGTGAACACATAAAATACCAAGCTAGTTACAATGCCTTTGTTATGACTACATAATTAATACCTTAGTCACGGTAGAAAAATACTGTGTTAAATAACTGCAATGTAATAGGAGAATCTAGATTTAAAAATGTTCGGTTATGGCTTAATTTAACTGACTTTATTTAATGATTACGATAAACTATATGTTTGGGATTTTGTTTGAATGAAGTTAATTTCAGGATGGCCGGCTTTAAATAAAATGCCAATTCAGTTCACGTCGGGAAACATAATTTCACTCATGCTGAAAGCTACATAAAAATTTGAATATTCATAGATTTCATAACTACTACTTAAGCACATGAGTTTAAAACAACGGTATTTCCTCTGCATCCTTAGTGTTAATAAATCTGTGTAACATCTTGAAGCTATATATTAAACATTCATTATATCAGTTTCGAAAATATTACGTTTCTTACAGACAATCTCTCACAGGAAAGTTTGTTTGTTTGTTACGAATTTCGCGCAAAGCTACAAGAGGGCTATCAGCGCTAGCCGTCCCCAATTTAACAGTGTAAGACTAGAGAGAAGGCAGCTTGTCATCACCACCCACCGTCAACTCTTGGGCTACTCTTTTACAACGAATAGTGGGATTGACCGTCACATTATAACGCCCTAACGGCTGAAAGGGCAAGCATGTTTGGTGGGATGGGGATTCGAACCCGCGCCCCACAGATTGGGAGTCAAGCGCCCTAACCACCTGGCCTTGCACAGGAAAGTAAATAAAGGAAAATACTTTGTTTGGTTCAAAATAATAATAATATTTTCACTTAGCGCAGTTTTTTCTCACGATGAATTTCCCTCAGAAGATATAAAGTACAGAACCATTTACAGTTCAATGTAGTTAAAAAAAGATACAATTGGAATATATGCACTTTGGTTTTGAGTCCTTTCCTTTGAAACATAAAATATTTTTATGATCCACATGATGCTAAAAACATTAGCCCGAATATAGTTTAGTATTTTTGCTAACTGTTAAGAGTAATTCTTAATCGATTTGTTTTCTTCGGATAATCGCGCATAGCTACATAAGAGCCATTTGCTCTAGCTGTTCTTAATTTTGAACTGATAGACTTGAGAAAAGTTAGCTAGTCAATATACTGAACGCCATTTTGTGGCAACTAGACACAAACCATAAACCCTTGGATTCAGACTTTTCACATTGAATAATATCGCGAAATGATAATGCAAAAAATAATATCCTAAAGATACATATTTGGTTGTAGAAACACTAATTAAAAACTTTCTAAAATAATAATCAACATTTTTTCAACGAAATCTTCAAGGCACTTGATTCGTAACATCTGTGTGGTTATGACTTGGTTCACAAACAATTTATCTTTAGTACCTGCTATGTGGTTATCATTTGCATCATAAAATATCTAGTTTTAGTAGCCACTGTATGGTTAGCATTTGGATCATAAAATATCTAGTTTTAGTAGCCACTGTGTGGTTATCATTTGGATCATAAAATATCTAGTTTTAGTAGCCACTGTGTGGTTATCATTTGGAGCATAAAATATCTAGTTTTAGTAGCCACTGTGTGGTTATCATTTGGATCATAAAATATCTAGTTTTAGTACCTGCTACAGAAAAATAACTTCAACATTGTACTTACTTGTTGGAGATGGAAACTTTCTTTTAGTTTGTGTTTCATTGCGTGTGAGAACGATCTTCAATATGCCAAACGTCTACGTATTTTGAGATATAAAGTTACAGTAAAATGTTTAACCCTTTCTGGTTTTTATACAAACCCCAAAGCAGTTATGAATCATATAAACATTCGGTTTCACTGTTCTTCCTACTTCATGTTGGAATCACAATGTTGTCGATTTCTCACAACTGCTTATATGACTGCTGAACGTCAGAGCATGTGCTCAAAGTAAACTCTTCTTGCTCCCGCACGTGCTCAAGCATCGCGCTGATTAAGCCGCGTCTCTCGGTTCACCGCTTATACGGTAAAGCGAAATCACGTGACCTTTAAAAGCCGCTGTTCTTACGCAACCTCAGCAACTATATTTGTTTTTTGTTAGCTTCCTGTCCATTTCCAAAAAAGAAAATCTCAAACTTCTGTAAATTTATTTCTTTAATTAAACTATTTGTGCAAAATATGAAAACGACAATACGAGCAAGTAAAGAATATAAAAACGGAGGGTCTATGATTATGTTTTTTTCTATAACATTGCAACCGGGAAATCCTGCAGTTTTAAAAATACGATAAGTTACACATGATAATTATATTTCTTTAGGGTACGTTATTTCTATGGCAACATGATATAATACTGACAGTATAGCCACCTGGTGTTATGTTGATGCTTTCTTTTAGCTGAATTTATAGTACTGGAAGTATATTGTAGACTATAAAAATGTGTAAAATTAAATGAATGTAATACATTTTTATCAACGAATCACAAGGAATATTATTGTAAAGCATGATGTTTGTATTGTATTCTTTAGTGAAGAACAATTCAGATAAAATTGCAAGTAGTAATAATTAGCAAACAAACTGTATCAAAAATAGCTAAAAAAAGAACCTTTTTTACCGAATATGTAGTTTGTTGTGTTGTTACTGATGTCATATAGAAGTACAAAACATAATTTTATATTTATCAACTAATTCTAATCTATTTACAATTAAAAGCAATACAACGTCAAAATTTTACACAATAAATAATTATCAAAAACAGCGACTTGCCCTAAAAGTCCCTGTTTTTAATAATTATTTATTCTGTAAGATTTTTACGTTGTATTGCTTTTAATTGTAAATATATCTTTTACACAAATGTTGTTTTTAAATTATTTAATTGTAGTCTCTGTTCAATAATTGTTTCAAAAGATTATTTGACCTTTAGTTTGGTTTCAAAATTATGTATCTCTGATAAAAAGTTCCACCTTAACGAACAGTTCTTGGAAGAAAAGATGGTTTTTACTGTCAAGCTATTTTTTTTTTAATCATTTAGTTAGCTTTTGTTTCTTTCTAACATTCGCACAAATCTACACATGAGCTATTTGCGCTAATTATGAACTGATATAAAGCATCTAGTTGGTGCTACCGCTAACTCTTGGGCTAGTCTATTCAAATATGACAGATTTTATCTTCGCTTTTATGACTTACTCATGACCCCAAATTGCGAAGTGTGGTTTTGCGTCAATTGGATGCGAAATATGGATCCTCGGGTTCAAAGTCCAGCACGCTACCAAAATGTGAACCTCAAATCCATAATTTTAGCTTAACATAAATATTAAGCCATCGTTATTTTAATTAATCAATAACCTGTCTCTCATACATTTATTAATTAAAGTGATTTTTTTTTACGTTTAACAAATTGCTAAGTGACCAACTTTATATAAAGAGAAGTGTTACAAGCACTTGAAAAGAAAATATAATTTCTTGTGTGATTCTTTTGTTGACTTTGCATATGATCGAAAACTCTGAATGTTCCAAATCATGTTTTTATGTTTATTTTATTCTTATAAGTTCTTGATTTATATTAATATATTAAGAAGAAATTAATTCCCTATAGTACAAATGACTAGGTCAAATTAATAGGCTTAGCAAACCAAAATGTAATGTTTGTCACCTGCATTAAAAATCATTTGGGTATTAGGCCTAACAGAATGTAAAATATATTTAATTATTTTCTGGTATATAGATGTTAGAAACATAACTAGTTTTAATGTGTGCTTAAAGCAAAAATGTCAGATCTAGACATAAAATATAGCTCATCTGGAGACAATTTTTTGTTTTATTCCAAAGTATTGCACGTCAAAATCATATTCTAGCAGTCATAAAAACTGTTGTTGTGGTTATTTATTTTAGTGCAAAGCTACATAATGGGCTATCTACGCTATGTCCATCGCGGATAATCCAACCCCGAATTTTAGCCATAGGAAAATAAAAACTGGTCTTTGTTATACTAATCATGCTCACACATGCATGCTTGCGAGTATGTTTAGTATAACAAAGACCAGTTTTTATTTTCGAGAATAGAATATTATAGAGAATATATATTATATAGAATACTATATAAAATATTTGCTCTCGTTATCTTTATACACATTATTATTAAATTCGCTCGTTTGTCGATAGTAAAAAAAAAAAGATGAAACAAATTTATAAGAAGACGAATCAAAGTTAAAACAAAACTTATTTTTCTAGATTATGAAATTACAGACAAACGTATACTTTATTAAAATGTGCTATGTCTTCTAATAGCTCAGGGGTAAATCTGAGCGCTTATAACGCTAAAATCGGGCTTCGATATCCGCGGTGGGCAGAGAACATTGTATAGCTTTCTGCTTAACAACAAAACAAATAAATAAACCAAAATAACGCCATTGTGTATTTGACATATTTTTCATAGTTATCTGTATACAGTAAATAATGTGTTGTAGTCCTATGCTCTTTTTAGGATATGGTACAGCAGATGAAAGCACATTTCACTATCATAATTACTTCTTATCTTGCTCTTATTTCTTAACTCAAGCACGTTTTTAAGATTTTAGAAGTGCAGCTAACAATTTTTTTTTTCATAAACAAAGATCAAGGGAGTTATTAAAGAAACACGTGACTACAAGTGGTAATAGCTTAGATCATGCTACAAGAATATAATAGAAACAAAAACAGACATACAGAAAGAATGAATAACGCCTAGTTAGCTACTTTGATAACATAATAGCTTTTACATCAACTACATGAATCACCCAGAATAGTACATAGGGACTTGATGTATTATTAGCTTGTAATGGTATCGTATCTTGTTTTATAGTCTTAAATTGGCGTTATATGAATAGTACAAATTTAAACTTAGATTTTTCCATATTGAAAAGCACATAACGTTATAGAACATGTAGATGGAAAACTGTGACTTCCTGGCATTTTTATCAACACGTCACTAGTCTCGCATAGATCATCTGGATTGAAGTCTTGCGATATTTAATTATTTCTTCATTCCAATTATAGATACATCATAATATATTTACTATCGTGAAATGTATCGCTGTTCTGTATGATAGTACGGTAAAAGAAAGTTTTTGATACAGAGGCAAGGTTTTGGTTGCTACGTAACAGACTACGATAGATACAGATATTCATTATTATTATATTATCTCTAAGTTGTATGTATTTTTGTTAGAATTTCACGGTAACCTTGGCAACTGATTGCCTTAGCTAGCAGTTTCATAATTACTATAAAAATGTCCATATTAATACTATTGTAAACGATAACAGCCTCCGGATTAATCTTGCCGTCTTTTACTATAAAAAAAACAGAATGTAACTAGTCTGTAAAAAATAAATGTAATTACGTTGATTGCTTCGGCTTAAAGAAGTTTTCACAAAATAAAGTACAACACATTATTATTATTTTATCTATGATAAGTATTATAACACACGTATGTCCTCTTTTGGGCTTCAACTTACTACAATGTCTTAAACGCATTGATCTGATCTAATCTCGAATAATATATTACGGTATGAACACTGTTTTATAACCTTAGATTTCACTCTAATGAGTGTTACGATGTTGAAACTTGAAATCCTCTATAGTCCTTTCTAGTATTCATTATATTGTTCGAGCTTTTGCTTTGGTATTGAGAAATATATAAAACAGTTTAAGAAATGAAAACATGTTTTGAACACGAAGTATAAAAGGCAAGGAAATGAAAAAAAAACTGGAGGGTTTGTGGCGTTTCTTCTTCTAAACGAATTAGATTTTATGTCAGATTAATGCTAGACACGTGAATCAGCTTCTGCAAGAATTAATCATTAAACTAAGCGGTTTAAACCAAAAAAATAAAATAAGAAGGGAAAGATATGAACAATGTTATATTAGTCAAAAAATGGGTTATCGCTCGTCAAAAGTAAAAATAGTTGATAGAGGAAAATGTTTTAAAAAGCGAAGTATTGAGCAACCATTAACGGATTCACGATACTTAGGGTTTAAAAAAAAGGAGCAAGAAACTATAATAATAATTTCTAAAGGAACGTACGGTGATATTGATCGTAAAACAACAAGAAAAAGTTGTTATTCTAAGAAAGAAAAAAATAATAGCGTGATTAATTCCGAGTCATCCGTCAGATCCAGTCGGTTCTGCCCCGAATACTCGAGGAAGAAATGGACTAATTTAATGCTATTTCATGGACCACGACTCGTGGCGTCGCTGCGAAGGTACACATGTTTCACACTCATTCTGTGTAGAGAGAGTTTAGAGCTTGTCACTGCCCATTATATAAAGTAATAGCCTGCAATGAATTAGAGAACTAGTTTTTGATGCTAGAATGTCAAAGTTTTGAGATATCAGGTCTGCTGCCTGCAGATTAGGTTTAAGAATGTGTTCTTTATTTGCAAATATTTCGTAAGTAAGCAATAAATAGTAGCTTCTAATCATGTAGATGATTTAACAAAAATATAAAGGAAATTTAAATGTGAATATTATAAATCAGTAATGCGGATAAGAAGAAAAAGAGATAAAAGTAACTTACCTTTATGACTGATTATATCCTTTTGATATACGTGCTTTTTCTTTACTGTTCTCTATGTACAAATAATTACGTCCATTAAGCATGAGAATTATAAAATCCTTAGAATTGTAGCACAGAAGAAACTAAATTTCCAACCTGTACGTTTGAGAATGCAAAAATTGTTATTCCTGACATTTCTGTCACAGAATTAAGGAAAGCAAAGACGAAAGTCTCACAAGTAGTTGATTTATTACTACAATGGTTTCGCCCGTAAAGACATCGTCAGGTGACACGTATAGTTGTCTTTGTTTTCCTTAGTTCTGTACTTATGGAGTTTCACCAACTAACGACGGTTTCAAATATTAATTACATACAAAAAATACTCATTAGACATCTAACATAGAGAATGCTATTCTTGAGACATGTACCATAGTGAGGGTATTTT